CATCACTCTGAGGCTGGAGTCTCCGGCCCAGCCCCTAAGGCTTCAGCCCCTGCAGCCCGACTCCCCAGCCAGCTGGGACAGGGAACACGCTCACGGTCATTCACTGGGCAGCTGACGTCCCCCGCAGCACGTCCTCCCGTGCGACTCTCTCCAGCTGTGCTGACGCCTCTGTGCTGACACACGGGGCGCCCGGCCCCCTTGGGGCCCATGAAAGGCCCCCTGAGCCCTTCTTCCAGGGCCTGACCCTGCCGCCAGGTGCCATCAGAACAAGGGGCGGCACAGCTCAGCAAAGACGCTATGGCCAGGCCATGGCGAGGAATAGACAGGCGCATGTGGGCCCCCTCACCCCCACTGGTGCTCGTGCCCCAGGGACGAGCGACCTGTCCAGACGTCCCCCATGTGGCTCCAGCCTGAGCACCACACCACGTGACTGCAGCTCCAAGAGCTCCTCCTCCTCCGTCACCTCTGGTTCCACGTTCTTTCCAAGCTGCTTCTGGACAGAGGGTGCTGGCTGGGCCCCTGCCAAAGGCGGCACTGCCACGTGGGAGAGTTGGATCTAGTGTGGCAGGTCAGGGCCCACCTAACCATGTGCCAGCCACAAATAACCACAGTCTGCCCACATACTTCTTGCCCAAGCCATTGGCATGGAGGACCTCTAAGTGTCCAGGCTGCTCTCAGAAACAGGACACAGTGGCTGTTGCCCACAATGGGGCAGCAGCTGAGGCCACAGCGTCTAGGAAGGCCCTTGGGCACCAGCAAACACATGCTCCAGAGGCAGCCCCATTCCCACTGAGCTTTCTTATTTTTATTTTTTTTAAGATTTATTTTTTTATTGGAAAGGCGGATATACAGAGAGGAGAGACAGAGAGGAAGATCTTCTGTCCGATGATTCACTCCCCAAGTGAGTGCAATGGCTGATGCTATGCCGATCCGAAGCCAGGAGCCTCTTCCGGGTCTCCCACGTGGGTGCAGGGTTCCAAAGCTTTGGGCCGTCCTCGACTGCTTTCCCGGGCCACAGGCAGGGAGCTGGACGGGAAGCGGGGCTGCCGAGATTAGAACCGGCGCCCATATGGGATCCCGGGCGTGCAAGGAGAGGACCTTAACCACTGAGCCATCGTGCCGGGCCCCCCACTGAGCTTTCAAACTCACCTACCACTGTCGGGGCCTGCAAGTCCCACAGCAAGACACCTGCCTATATGTCACCCAACTGGATTGCCTCCCATATTTCCGTTTGGAAAACAAGAATCCAAGGACCCCTAAGTACAGCCTTCAGGACAGCCTGCCAGCCAGGGCCGCAGGACAGCCAAAACGGGTATCATCAGAGTGCCTGAGTGCAAGGCTCCACCTCCAAAAGCAGACAGCAACAGTGCCTTCAGGCCATGGACGAGCTGGGCATCCGACGACCACCCACGTCGCCTGGAGCAGGCCTGGCATGAGCTGGGCATCCGACGACCACCCACGTCCCCTGGAGCAGGCCTGGCATGAGCTGGGCGTCCGACGACCGCCCACATCCCCTGGAGCAGGCCTGGCATGAGTGGGGCGTCCGACGACCACCCACGTCCCCTGGAGCAGGCCTGGCATGAGCGGGGTGCCAGATGACACCCGCATTCCCTGGAGCAGGCCTGGCATAAGCAGGGCGCCCGATGACACCCGCATTCCCTGGAGCAGGCCTGGCATAAGCAGGGCACCCGATGACACCCACATCCCCTGGAGCAGGCCTGGCATGAGCTGGGCATCTGACGACCACCCACGTCCCCTGGAGCAGGTCTGGCATGAGCTGGGCGTCCGACGACCACCCACGTCCCCTGGAGCAGGCCTGGCATGAGCGGGGTGCCAGATGACACCCGCATCCCCTGGAGCAAGCCTGGCATGAGCTGGGCGTCTGACGACCACCCACGTCCCCTGGAGCAGGACTGGCTTCAGGCCCTGACTGCAGCTTCCTGCTCATGCGCGCACAGGGAGGCAGGGCTGACGGCTCCAGTAGGCAGGTCCCTTCCACACATCAGGAGACCTGGAAGGAGCCTGGACACGTGACCGTAGCCTAGACTAGACCAGAACAGCATGTGGGAGATCTTTCCACCTCTCCTTCAAAGAAAGCAAATAAACAGGTAAATAAACTATTTAAAATAGGTTCCTTAATGTGTTTTATTTTTTAAGATCCTGTGTCTGCCTGTGGCTGTCAGCCTGTGGGCTTAAAGCAGACCTGCCTTCCGATCTCCCTCCACACCACAGCCCAGCAAACCTGTGAGCGTGTGGGACCCCTTCAGACCCAGCCCCAAGCTCTCACTATGAGCTCCAGGCCTGCCCTGGCTCACTCAACCAGACGGGGCCACTCAGTCCAGCAGCCTCCTGGCCTCTGCAGTGGGAGAGGCTCTCACAGCACCCATGCTTCAACTGGAAGACACAAGGTTAGTCACTTCAAACATCAACTGTCTGCCTGCAAGTGGTCCTCCCAGCCACCACTCGAGGTCCTGAGTGGCAGGAACCAGGCTTCCCCAGCACGGCAGAGGACCACGAGAGCTAGCAGTGCTGAAGGGACCCGAGCCCATCCCACACCCAGAGCCAAGTGCAGGGCCCAGCGCACGGTCAGGAACACCAGGCTCGGACCCAGTGGGAGGCATAGTGCTGCGAATGTCCAAATGGACATGAGGTTGCACAGCACGAGAGGTGGACTCAGACCACAGCCATGAAAACTTCAGGGGGCCGGGAGCAAGGCCTGAGTGAACTGCAAGCTTCAGTTCGCCCGAAGTCCAGGACCCAAACATCTGAGATACCCACTTAACAGAATGGTAACTGCCGTAGTGGCACGTCTTATACCAATGTTCCACGTGACACTGCCCACCGACTCGGGGCCCAGGTCTGTTCCTGGGCACGTCAAGGTGTGCACACCTGAGGGGCAGGTGCACCTGCGGCACAGGCCGCAGGCAGGGAGGCAAGGACAGTCTCCGGCGACGTGCCTCCGAAGCCATCCCTCCAAGGACAAGCCCACTGTCCCCGGCTTTCCTCTCTCCTGGACAATCAACACCATGGTCGTGTCTTGTCTTGCTAAGCGTCAGGGAAATGCATTAAGAATCGCTCAGGTCTTACAACAGAAGTTGGTGGTAAAGGCGTTAAGACAAACTTATTTACCACATTAATTAAATGGTCTATTTAACATGGAATATCAATTCTCTAATCACATCTCAGTTGAACTTGTTCCTTCAATTAGCAGTTCCCGAGTCTACTGACAGAGGTCCTGCTGTTCCTAGGGTCATTATCTGTCAAATGAGGGTGGCACTCGCGGGAGCAGCCTCTCGCTCCGTGAGAGCTGATTAGGGAACGAGCAGTGCCACCCTCATTAGCTGCTCCGCAATGAGGAGGCCTCCTCAGCACCCGTCAGCCGAAGCAGCAGGCAGGACTACCACAAGCCGCACGACACAGGCACCTCGGGAGACCCGCTCCCCCAGGTGACAGGCACCACGTCGGGATGGCCACAGCCGGGTACAACTCAAGAGGAAAGGCTCCCCTCTGGTGTTCCTTGTTCATCGTGGATGAACTGAATAAACTCATACCATCAGAATTTTTTAAATAACTAAAACAGATAAAATTACAGCCAATTGCTACAGCATACAGGGGGAGGAATGTACTATTCCAGAGAATAGCACAGCCCAACCAACACCTCTGCTTAGCCATTTACCTTGTATATAATTAATGCTGCAATAAAAGGCGGTGCTACTAGTGTGTGCAAAGTTGCAGAGTGATGAAATACAGCGCTGCCACTAACGAAGGCTCGGCTTTTAGCTTGTAAGCAAAATATTCCACTAATGTCCTATCACCTCAACCTTACTCATTTAAAGCCACGCTCCAAAGCCACTAGAGTTAAACTATACTTCCAAACACATCACGTGGATCACGCGTCATCAGGAGGGCTCTCGGTGCTGTAACGGGTCTCGTGGGTCACGGGTCATCAGGAGGGCTCTCAGTGCTGTAACGGGTCCCGTGGGTCACGCGTCATCAGGAGGGCTCTCAGCGCTGTGACGGGTCACACGTCATCAGGAGGGCTCTCGGTGCTGTGACGCGTCTCGTGGGTCACGCGTCATCAGGAGGGCTCTTGGTGCTGTGACGCGTCTCGTGGGTCACGCGTCATCAGGAGGGCTCTCGGTGCTGTGACGGGTCACACGTCATCAGGAGGGCTCTCGGTGCTGTGACGCGTCTCGTGGGTCACGCGTCATCAGGAGGGCTCTTGGTGCTGTGACGCGTCTCGTGGGTCACGCGTCATCAGGAGGGCTCTCGGCGCTGTGACGTGTCTCGTGGGTCACGCGTCATCAGGAGGGCTCTCAGTGCTGTGACGGGTCACACGTCATCAGGAGGGCTCTCGGTGCTGTGACGCGTCTCGTGGGTCACGCGTCATCAGGAGGGCTCTTGGTGCTGTGACGGGTCACACGTCATCAGGAGGGCTCTCGGTGCTGTGACGCGTCTCGTGGGTCACGGGTCATCAGGAGGACTCTCGGTGAACACAGCACCTGGCACGTGGGTTACGTTGCTGCCTGTGATGCCAGCATCCCATAGAGACGGCCGGGTTCCTGTCTGCTTGACTTCTGATCCAGCTCCCTGCCAATAACCTGGAAAAGCAGCTGAGCGTGGCCCAAATGAGCAAGCACTACCTTCCATGTGGAACACCCAGAAGAAGCCACCGGCTCCTGGTTTGGGGCCTGGCACATCCCTAGGCATTTTGGCCATCCTGCAGGTAACCACAGGATGCACCATCTCTCCCTCTCTAATGCTTTCAAATAAATACATCTTTTTAAAAAGAGACTCCAGTGAAAGTACCCTGTCCAATGCGTTGTTATGTATCATTACTGAGCGTGACGTCACTAGCTAGCATTCGGGTCGAAGGTATTTTTTCATTGAGAAATGATTGTTCCCTATTAGTACTCACCATCACTGGTCAGAACGCACACAGGGAAGCTGACCACAGCGCCCGCCCACATCTGTACGAGACGCCACAGGTGTGCACTTACCCAGGTACTCACACATGAAGACCACGAAGAAGGGGGTGACGAGGTCGTTGATGCCCTGCACGTAGCCACTGGCAGGGTGACGGATTGCCCATATAAACAAGATCCTTTCAAAAATCTGAAACAAAAATGAAGAGGTGTTGATGCAAAAGAGCAAGCTAGTGGAGATGGACGCACAGACACTCCACCTGCCATGGAGGTGGGCACACTCGCCCTCCGCCACACCACGGCTGCCGAGTCAGCACACACGGAGATGCCCCACCTGCTGCGCAGTCTCTGTCCGACGGGGGCCCTGCAGAAAGCTCATGAAAAACACAAGTAAAGCCGTGCATTTATGCCTGCATAACATATGAAAAATGTATGTTATTTAAAGACACATGAGGGCCACGCGGTAGCTTAGTGAATAAGCTCACCTTGCACGTGCCAGGATCCCATATGAGCACCAGTCTAATCCTAGCAGCCCTGCTTCCCATCCAGCTCCCTGCCTGTGACCCGGGAGAGCAGTCGAGGATGGCCCAAAGCCTTGGGACCCTGCACCTGCGTGGGAGACCTGGAAGAGGCTCTGGGCTCCTGGGTTCGGGTCGGCACAGCTCCGGCCATGGTGGCCACTTGGGGAATGAATCAGCAGATGGAAGATCTTCCTCTCTGTCTCTTCTCCTTCTGACTTTGCAATAAAAATAAATAAATCTTTTAAAAACTAAAAAACCATGGATTTCAAGCTTATCTGTAAAAGTAAACTCATATTTCTATTTTCCACATACTTCTTGAAGTACCCCTGTGTCTCACCTACCCCTAAGTACCGACCTCCCACCCAAGCCAGCTCCAGCGACGCACACGTCCTGGGGTCACAACACTGCCTGAGCACCCCACCCGGGCTGGCTGTGCCACACGGCCTGACAGAGAGCACCCCACCCGGGCTGCGTGTCTCCAACTGGGAGACATGTTGGGGTAGTTCAACGCTCTGCAGCCTTCACCACTGCCCAGCTCCAGGCTGGAACAGTTGGCATCGCATGTGAGTCACAAAGGAAGGGCCGGGAAACACAAAGACCATGCTTTCCTGGTGGGCAGGGGCCTGGACAGCGCACACCTACATCGGTTCCTGGGTGTGTGAAACTAGGGCTGGGCATGCCGTGCCCCCCACCCCGTGTGACTGAGCCCCACTCTGAGGGCACGAGACGCACGCACAGCCTGAAGGCTCTTTGCACATCTGAACACAGCTCTCCTTTGAGCAGCTGGAGCAATCCAGAGAGCCCAGAGCAGGGGGACAACAGAGCGTGTGGGGGCCTCCAGGCCTGCAGAGAGCCCAGGAACCGTCCAAGGAGGCTAGCACAGGCTCCGGATCCGGCTCCCATGGGAAGCACAGCCTCTGTCAGCCGACTTCTCTAAACTGGACCTGCCAAGACCTAATCCCACAGCGGTGCCAGCCCAGGCAGCACCACATGCCAGTAGCCTTGGCAGCAGAGGGAGGAGTGGCCTGCAACTCCCAGACAGGAAGCAAACCGCTGGCCACACTTCCCAAGGCAGCGGCGCTCCTAGGTGCAGTGGCCTGGCATTCGTTCTCACCGTCACGGCCATGCCACAGTGAGGGGCCTCTGCCCGGTTAGGAGGCACTTGGAGGCAGCGGGCACAGGTGCCCTAGAGGGGACTCAGCACTCAGACGTCATTCTGGAAAGCCACCTGTCAGCTCAAGTTCCTTCAGCTCACCTCTACTTCATCTCTCTCGATAACCTGGAAATCCTATTTCTAAGACTTTAATCCCAGGAACACGTAAATAAAGGCACAGGCAGCATCAGCAGGAAACACGGAAGGTCTGACGAGGAACGCGGCTGGCGCAGCAAACGGGAGGCCCAGCGTGGCCACCACCAGGCGAGTGTGCCGGCCACCACGGCCTGAGCATCCCTAGAGATCCATGGAGAGTGCGGAGCCCACAGGCGGCCACCCCAGACAGGCTCGGCCTGGCACCAGCTCCAGCCCCTCCTCCCACCCCAGACAGGCTCGGCCTGGCACCAGCTCCAGCCCCTCCTCCCACCCCAGACAGGCTCGGCCTGGCACCAGCTCCAACCCCTCCTCCCACCCCAACTTTCCTGCTAAAGACATGAATCTCCCCTGTAACACTCCAAATGGTCCCCCTCTCTACGTCCTGGCAGCTGGGGCTACTGCTAAAATTCAGGATGCACCAGTCCAAGAGCAACTGGCCTGTGACTCCAGGAGCCTGGCCTTGCTCCAAGGCCCCATCACCAAGAAGTCCTTTCTCACCCACTCTTATCCCCACCTCAGGAACCTGACCTGTCCCTCCCTTTCTCTGACCCCGTCCCCTCTTGACCTTCTCCTGTCCCACCCCAGACCCCTGCCCAGTAGCTCTCTTTCCCACACTGGCCACACTGCAACAGGGCAGCCTGGCTCTGGACATAGCTACAACTCGCGCCCAGTGAGTCCTGGGGAGGGGTGGGGGGTCAGTGCGGGGCTCTCAGTCCTGCACGGTGGCTGGAGGGACTGGCAAGCAGGACCCTGGCTCTCCTGCTGTGCTGCAAGTTGAGCCCTCCCTTTCCTCTGCTCTCCACGCGTGGGCACTGGTGGAGACCTGGGCCCAGTGAGCGGAGGCTGAATAGACAGCACTGTACACTGTGCAACTGCTCCCTGCATCACGCGACGTTCCAGAGCGGGCTCCCAGACACCCTTCAGGAGCCCTGGGGTCCTCGTCTAAGGGGAAAGGGAAGACAGAGCAAATGGGGAGGGCAGACACTGGAGGGAAGACAGGCAAGAGGGGCTGTGATGATGGAAGGCAGCCGTGTTCAAGAGGGGAGCGGAAGGGGCGCCTCCTCCACACTGAGAGGAGCACACTCCTGCAGAGACACGGGACAGAGGTCACCACGCGTACGTCACAGACCACAGGACACGGATCACTGCACCCGGGACCACCACCCAGACCACACATATGTCACAGACCACAGAACACAGATCACCACACCCGGGACCACCACCCAGACCACACGCATGTCACAGACCACGGAACACAGATCACCACACCCGGGACCACCACCCAGACCACACGCATGTCACAGACCACGGAACACAGATCACCACACCCGGGACCACCACCCAGACCTCACGCATGTCACAGACCACAGGACACGGATCACTGCACCTGGGACCACCACCCAGACCACATGCATGTCACAGACCACGGCACACGGATCACCGCACCCGGGACCACCACCCAGACCACGGCACATGGATCACTGCACCCGGGACCACCACGCAGACCACACGCATGTCACAGACCACGGCACACGGATCACCGCATCCGGGACCACCACGCAGACCACACATATGTCACAGACCACAGAACACAGATCACCACACCCGGGACCACCACCCAGACCACATGCATGTCACAGACCACAGCACATGGATCACTGCACCCGGGACCACCACGCAGACCACACGCATGTCACAGACCACGGCACACGGATCACCGCACCCGGGACCACCACGCAGACCACACGCATGTCACAGACCACGGCACACGGATCACCGCGCCCGGGACCACCACGCAGACCACACGCATGTCACAGACCACGGCACACGGATCACTGCACCCGGGACCACCACGCAGACCACGGCACATGGATCACTACACCCGGGTCACACACCCAGACCACACGCATGTCACAGACCACTGGACACGGATCACCATACCCGGATCACATATCCAGACCACACATACGTCACATGGGACCTGGGCGACTCCTCTGGCCCTGTCCCAGTCTCCACAGGGGCCTGGGTGACTCCTCTGGCCTGGATCCAGGGGCGCTGCATACCAGCGTACGGGGCTCCCAGGGACACTGAGAAACCCCACAGCTGACCTGTGGCCGTGCTCATGATCCCTCAGAAAATCCGACTTCAGATGCCTGGGAAGGCCTCGATGCGGCCGCGGGCGCGGAGGACAGCCGTGGAGGTCAGCTCTGGGAGGAAGCATGGAGCGCAGCCTGCGGGGAACACCGTGGGATTTACAGCCCCAAGCCCAGGAGCACAGCCAGCTCAGAGCGGCGTGATTCACAGCTCTCGTCCAGCAGTGAGCCCAGCAACACCTCCCTCCGCAGGAATTACAACATCTGATAAATGAAACCAAGACAGAGGGTGACAACAAGCCTGGAACGCGGATTAAAATGCAACCATCTATCAACTCAGCTCCTGACTATATGTTTATAGCGTAATTAATATCTAAAACTCTAAAAGAAGCAGTAATAGCACATTCGGTACATCAGCAGCTCCTCCCACGCTTGGTGCTACCGTCAGGCATCGTGGGGACAGGCAGGGCTGCACGGTGTTTATAACTAAAAACACACCAAAAACCCAGCATTTCAAACGAATCATAGCTCCACTGTTGTAAACACAACACTCAACGAGCATGACATGCCGGAGTGCAGCCCAAGAACCAACCCAGAGAGGGAAGGCACGTTCCAACAGGAGGACGCTGACCTCGCGGCCTGACCTCCTGGGCCTGGCGCCTCGGCATGGAGAGAAGTCAACCGTCCCACACGACAAGGCAGGGGTGTTCCAGAAAGGCACAGCTGCACAATGCTAGGAAATCTAGTAATAAAATTCACCTCGATGACAAAAAGGCAAAAATATTTTGTCTCAGATGATAGTGAAGAGGAAAAAAGAACTGCTAAATCTCAAATTTATAAATGAGCAAAGTCCTTTCTGTAACATACAATAGAGAATAAATATCTTAGCACATGGAGCAATGCTCAAAAGTTTGTCTTTAGGGGACCCAGTGCAATAGCCTAGTGGCTAAATTCTCGCCTTGCATAGTTGGCTTGCCATATGAAGCACCAGTTCACATTCCAGCTGCTCCACTTCCCATTCGGCTCCCTGCTTGTGGCCTGGGAAATCAGCAGAGGACGGCCCGAAGCCTTGGGACCTTCACCTGCAAGGGAGACCTGGAGGAGGCTCCTGGCTCCTGACTTTGGATCATCTTAGCTCCGGCCACTGAAGCCATTTGGGGAGAGAACCAGCAGATGGAAGACCTTTCTGTCTTTCCTTCTCTCTGTAAATCTGCCTTTCCAAGAAATATAACAACAAAAAAAAATTGTCTTTAAAGTAAGCAATGTG